CCTCCAGAAGTCTGAGATCCGCTAGTGAGCGACGCCTCGTGGTACCATCACAGAGAGGCTCAAAATCACTTTCCAGCACATTCTCGTTCACTGTTCCCGGCTGCTGGAATGATCTTCCCACCCCTATCCGGAATGCTGAATCCCTGACCATTTTCAAGCAATAGCCGAAAACTCATCTCTTTCAACGCTACTTGACTTCATCCTAAATTTTTTAAAAAAAACTTTCTTTTTCTTTATTTATTCCTTCCCTTTATTGCTTGTACTTATTTGAACAATGTCTGAAACTTGTTATTGCAAGCACATCATGTGTCTGTTTGCCTCTTTAAGAAGAATCGCTTGATGTATTCCCCAATTGTAAGTCGCTTTGGATAAAAGCGTCTGCTAAATGACTAAATGTAAATGTTTCAGTGATTTGCCATTTTCTACCATTTGAAGTCTAGGAATAAAAACTGAAAGAAAATAAATAAATAAATGAAGCAAAATGAGCACACAGAGTTTTGTAGGTATTTCCCAGTATTTATTGATGTGAAACTCATTTAAAGACAAACATATTGTCCAAACTACTGCACTGCATCAACTGTCACCAAGCTCGTTTTTGCCACTATGAAGAATAAAAAAGCAGTTAATTATAAAGATGTATCCAGATAGAGGCGATTTATCATAGCTACCTGAAGCAGCTCTAGGAAAAAACAATAATAAATGGAAACAATGGGAACGTGTAACTCAGAAATATTGTATTATATACAAAATATATATGTATTATTTATTAATCCTCAAAGAACAACAACAAAAATGAATGAGTTTTAAGTAAATGTGAAGCTGCCAAACAATATTTTTACACAGCACAGGCAAAGTTAAGGAAATAAGTTTTTTGTTAAAGCTGGTGGCTCTAGCACAAACAGAGATATATTATTCAAATGGAGATGGTTTGGAATAATGTCTAATCTTCCTCACGGCGGACCAATCTCTCCAAAAGTGAGGCGCAAAATATTTCTGAAAGTCACAAAGTTCAAATTCAAAGTATTTGCTTTTATGTATTCGTAGGTTTATATCTGAACACTAAATGACAATGAGTGTAAAAATATAGACACTATAAACTAAAAAACGTTTACAGCTGTGTATGTAAACCAATCAGAACTGTATATTCCACATCTCATTATACTCCAGGCCACATTGTAGTACTAATGACCTGTCAGCTGAAAGTAATAATAAACCATAATGCATTAATTCTTCTGACGCATGGAAGAGCATCTACCCAGAACCCTCCAAATATTCAACAAGCACGCCCTCACGTTCTAGAAGACTTTGGTAAAGTTTATCTTTCAGTTTAGGTGTTGTCAGAAAGTCCAGAAGCGCTCTCATTTGTGCTTGTGTTACTCCTTTATACTGTAAGATGATTCCGTATTTTTCATCTCCAAGCAGAGGTTTCATGTCGTCTGCAATGGGCTCCACCAGTGAGACCCTTCTGATCAACTCTGTCCTGTGCTTCTCCACAAACTCAGCGCCTGGATGAACAAAATGTTGCCTCATCTTCATGAAAAGCCACTGAACAGTACTTTATGAAGAATCTGCACAGAAACAGCCTGATCTATTTTCATAAATTATGTTTACCTTCACCCTTTTTGCATCTTCCTTTTTTCTGTGCTGTGTCAGTCTCTGCAGACTGAAGACCTGGGTAAAGAAAACAAAACAAACATGAATTAAAATGATTACGTCCGCTAGGGGTAAGATGCAATAAGAATAATAAAGACTCTCATCAAGCCGTCAGACCAAAAAAATGAAACCAAGAACTTTAATAAACGCTAACAGGAGTCTTTGGTCTGACGGCTGACGAAGCGTCGGGAACATCAGCTCACTTCTGGATCGCTGAAGAGACGCTATAAGAGGACCACCAGCTGAGTGTTCAATAGCTGTTATCAGCTGGCGCCACCATTGCAAAATCAGCACCGATCTATTAACTCAAAAGACACACAAAGAGAATAGGAAGAACATACATATACCAAAAACAAACAAACAAAAACTTCATAACGTACCACAATTATTGTCCAGGTTTTTGGTATTACATAAAAAAGTGTAGGCTGCACATTCACAAACTGCATAAAGAAATGTAGCCTATATTGCATGCATATATTACTCAGAAATACAGCAGCTTTTGCCAAATTATTGGAAAGCATTCAATTTATCCTTCGTCAGGAAAGCAATACCAGAATGCTCCACGATTTTAGACCAAATGAGAGTGCAATGTTTTAAACAAGATGGAAGACGCTGCTTAACTTAAATTGCATATAGTGGCTAAATACACAAATAATAATAATAATATGTTAAACTTTGCAGAACATTACACAACATTTACCGGTCACTGAATTAAATTGTCATCATCACTTACTTGTTTTTAGCCTCCAGTCAGCTGAAATTAGGCCAGAAATACATACATTATTTAACGGTATTAAATATTATTCTAACTGCAGAACAACAGTAAAACACTTGCTTGAATTTATAGCATGTATGCATGTTTGTAGCATGCAGATTTGTGTGATTCGTACTGCCACTTACATGCTGAACTGTTTGTGTTGAATTCATCTGGAAGAACACAGTCAACAAATTAAAACATAAAAGATTAAACAGACGATCTGCAGAGAATTTTGCAAGTCCTTGTGGGTTGTTTACCTGGTTCTATATTAACATCCCATATTTTTTGGCCCTCTTTTGTCTCTATAGAGAGTTCGAGACATTCCTTTGCATCTTGAATGTGTAAATCAAAGAAGTTGGTCTTGCCGGGAGTCAATTTTAAACTCTGGCAAGAAGTGAATTGAAATATTTTAGAAAGAGACAGCATGTAAGTCTGGATTATTTTCTAGCACCAAAAATAAAATTTGTGCAAGTACCTGAGGTTTGATTTTGGAGTCACAAGATGTCTTCAGGGTGTAACTGTAATCCATTGCAAGGCCTTCATCTGGTGTTGGTTTTACAATCTCCGTATTATTTTTCTCCTTCTCCTCCACATACTAACAGTGTTAGACACAATTATCTGTCACTTAAACATGTACTTATAGAAGTAGTTACACTTGCTTTCTACAAAAGCAAAACGATAAATCTACTCATACTGTCCATACTAAAGCAATAAGCCCCGTGAAGCCGTGGTTTACAGTGAATTTATAACAGCTGAGGGGCGTTGTTAGGTTACGACGCGAAGCAGAGTTAGCTGTTATAAATTCACTGTAAACCATGGCTTCACGGGGCTTATTGCTTTTATAAAACGGTTAAGCACCGGAACTCTCCGTTTTATAAAATGTCTTATATTCCAAGTCCTCTGAAGCCATGCAACATCTTTCAAATCTCAAATACTGAAATCTGTTGAGTGGTATATATAACTTACAGAGATTCATACATGTATCATAAACATACCAGATTGATTGATTGATTGAACAGATTCAATCAATCAACGCATAGCTTCAAAAGACTTTAGACTATATCATTTTGCATGTATTGTTTTATTTTGTTGTGTAGATAATGTCAAAATTTTCATTATCCCTTTAGAACAGTTTGGTTATATTCACTTTCGAATAAAATCACCCAATAAATGGCTGATTATGTTCTACAACTGTAAGTAAATAAATGTCAAAATAAACGGTCATATGGTGCATAAAGCTTATCATTAGATTTTACCTTCTTAAGTTTTTGATCCTTTACAATCAGGTACACATGAAGGTTGAGGGGAGCCTTTCTGTTGCGATAAATCAAAGTCTCACAGTGATATTTCAGGGGGGGGTGACCCTGATTTGCAACAACTCCAAATAATGCGATGGTGGGATTGAGAAGCTTAGCATGGAGTCCGCTTAATTCACATCTTTCCAATGAAACAGTACCGTCCTTCACATAAAGAACTTTCACTGTATCATCTGAGGAAGATGTAGGATCTGTGGACAGTAATGCAGTTTAAGTTACAAAGTCTTCAAGAATGAGAGCTCATTGGTCTGGCTTAAATCGTTTACACAATTGGAGAGAACATGTTGAAATGACTGGATCTGGAGTGAGATGTGCCTTACCGACACAGACGAAGTGAGGTAACTGAATTTCCTCCAGTGTGCCAGAGGTTGCAGTGATGTCTATCAAAGGTCCACATGGTGTGTATTTCTTCATAGTATCTTTACTGAGTGATTTCCAGTCAGCAAACCGATACTCCAAACTGACATCACCGACAGACCGCCAGCGGAGGCTAGTCTCTGAACATTCATGCATCCCTTCAGAGGAGCTGACACTGAAAACCCAAATATAACACTGATAAAGGTGCTCTCAGAAGATATAATATTATATATGTAATGTTACAAGTATGTATGATTTTATAAAGATTTCTCTCTGTACCTGTACTTGATATTTGCATCTGTCATGTCCTCTGAAGGTCTTTTAACTTCCCATTCAGAATCATCCTGAGAGGGAGAAAAATAATCATTAATCGAATAAAGAAATTAAAAGTCACTGAAGTACAGATAAAAGCTTAGTTTGAATAGAATCAACAGAAATAAACAAATCAACAAATATTCGGATTCTTCATAGGGACTGGCACAGTGGCGTAGCAAGTCAGCCCAGGGCCCATATGCAAAACAAATTGTATGGGCTCCCCCAAACGTCATGGGCTCCAACTCGGTTCAATTAAATTATCGTAGATTTTTTTTAAGTAAGTACGTTACTATTCACAAGCTGTTTTATTTAGGTATAAATGCTTGGAAATCATATTTAACGCTTTGAAGTCCATTCATTATTTGTAGCACCCAAGCAGAGGTTGTGTTAGACATTTTGACGGACAGGGTCGTAAAAATTCCGTCATAATCTATTATTACCTATCATTTTAATTTTCGTATTTTAATTATAATAACACATTTAATTGCTTCTATTTTTGTTCACAATTTCAATTTTAATCATGAACCTGCAGGACGATATAGGCTTATGCATTTACAGATGAACAGAGACTGTGAGTCCCTCTTCATGTTCAACACCACACCGGTGTGGCAGCGGAGGACACTAAAAACAACAAAACATGCTAGGACTGGATAAAATAATAATAATAATAATCGGTTTCTCGATTTTAATATTCTCATTTGTATGAAACAATATCGATTCTTAAATCCCAATCGATCTTTTGGTCTATATGACTATGCACAAGCTGTTTTACTGATGATTTTTGAAACTCTAATACATTTCATGAGACGTTTGTTTTTATTAAATTGTTCTGTTTTTGTTTTTTTTCTTCAAAATGCATTCAAATATTTATTCATGTTCTGCAAATATTAAAGAGGAAAATATGATTGATTCGCATGCTGCTTGAACTGAGGCAAATATAGTTATCTCACTACAAATTAAAGAGTAAAAACATTAATTTTTTGTATTTTATCCCCCTGCTTAAAGAGCAAACAGGTCCGTGGATGATGCAGTCAACATGGGACTGCACTTCATCCTGCAGCATCTGGATAAATCAGGGACTTGTGTGAGGATCCTGTTTGTGGACTTTAGCTCCGCTTTCAACACCATCATCCCAACTCTCCTCCAGACCAAACTAACCCAGCTCTCTGTTCCTAGCTCTATCTGTCAATGGATCACCAGCTTTCTGACAGATAGGCAACAGCTAGTGAGAATGGGTAAATCCACATCCAACAGCCGTACCATCAGCACTGGTGCCCCCCAGGGCTGCGTCCTCTCCCCACTGCTCTTCTCCCTCTACACCAACGACTGCACCTCTAAAGACCCCTCTGTCAAGCTCCTGAAGTTTGCAGATGACACTACAGTCATCAGCCTCATCTAGGATGGTGACGAGTCTACTTATAGACGCGAGGTTGAGCAGCTGACTGTCTGGTAACAAGCTGGAGCTCAACACGCTCAAAACATTGGAGAGGATCGTGGACTTCAGGAGAAACCTCTCTGCACTCCCCCCACTCACCATCATGGACCGCACTGTAATAGGAGTGGAGTCATTCAGATTCATGGGCACCACCATCTTTTAGGACCTGAAGTGGGACACTCACATAGACTCCATTGTCAAGAAGACCAAGCAGAAGTTGTACTTCCTTCGCCAGCTGAGGAAGTTCAACTTGCCACAGGAGCTGCTGAAACAGTTCTACTCCGCCATCATTGAATCCATCCTCTGCACTTCTATAACTGTCTGGTTCAGCTCAGCTACCAAATCTGACCTCAGAAGACTACAGAGGGTAGTCCGGACTGCTGAGCGAATCACTGGTACAACCCTCCCTTCTCTCCAAGAACTGTACTCATCCAGAGTGAGCAAAAGGACTGGCAAAATCATTCTGGACCCCTCACATCCAGCACACTTGTTCTTTGAACTGTTGCCGTCTGGTCGGCACTACAGAGCACTGAGCACCAAAACAGCCAGACATAGGAACAGCTTCTTCCCTCAGACCATCTACCTCACGAACAGTTAAATGTTCTCCCCACTGTGCAATAAAACATGTGCAATACCCAACTATCTATACTTATATTCATTATACATATGTTATTGATTTAACATGTCATACATCTATCCAAATGCCCTTGTATAATTTGTATATAGCACATCTCTACATACGGTATGTTGTCTATTGTATCTGTGTATCTGTGTCTATTGTTTTTCACATATTTAGTTTTAATCATCTGTCTATTTTTGTTATATATGTCTTGTCACTTGTCATCCTGTCTGGGCACTGGAAGCTTCTGTCACCAAGACAAATTCCTTGTGTGTGTAAGCACACTTGGCAATAAAGCTCTTTCTGGTTATGATTATGATTCTGTAAACAGCGATTGAGTGTTGCACAACTCTGAACTGAAATTCAATAACGTCAAGGCTGTAATGTGATTGGTTATCAAGGCACACGTGATCCAAGCAGACCGTTACACTTTCTCCAATAGTAGGTAATACAGACCCTTTCATCTCCCAATAATAAGAAAATCTCTGGCTCTGGAGAAGCTGCAACCAACTGAGTCCCCCGTCTGCTCTCGGAGTTCTATCGCAGTACTTTGATGCCACATGTGACAGTGACGTGGCTTCGGCACCATCTCAAGTCGGAGAAAATTTCTAACAGGCATGCAGTGCTTCAAGTTAGATTTCGATCGATCTGCGCAGCGCCGCGTTAAGTCAAACACACCTATTGCGTTGAGTCACCACTCGATGGGTATAATCAAGGTTTAACAAAAATCCAGACCAAAACCTCAGTTTGAGCTCTAACTGCTTGAGACTGCTTCAGTATCTGATTCAAACAAAGCGAACCTCAGTGCTGTCTCCTTTACATTATTACGTTCCCCCCAATATCGTAATTTATATATGAAGCTCAAATGACCTTTGGCTACGAAATAACAGTCTAAGTATGGAGTCAGATTTAAAATAGACAGAACACAGATTCAATTTAATAATTTATATTTCATTTATTTTATTGCCAGTAAGCCGACACAAATTAATGACTTTGAAAAAGACCATTATTTACAATAATTCAAAACAAAGAACCAGTTGTGAAACCAGTGGCTGTAATGGAAAACATTACTTTGGAAGGTGCTATTCATTTTTATGACCACTAGATGGCCACAATATCGCATCATCTGACCCCTTTAAGAGCTTTGAGCAATGAACCTTTTTCCAATACAACTGTGTTGAAAGATTTGCTGGTTCAGAACGCTTCACTTCACCATCACTACATGAATCATTTGCATTTGAAAAGGAAATAAAGAAAAATAGGTATGTTTAGATACATACCAGTTTCTCATCAATCTTCTTTCCCCGGTTGACGGTGGCAGAGCAATTGTAAATGCGAACATGTTCCTCACGGAGCTTCATCACACTCTCTCGCAGATGTTTCATACTTTTCCATTGAGGAGAAAAATACGAGTCATCCACAAAACCATATTCACAGCATATAATTCTGCTTGCATGGCATAAAGCATGAGATGCAATTGGATATTTCAGTTTAAAGGCTATATACTGTAGACAGAGTTATGAGGTTTGTACTGACTCCTTCTCAATCATCTCAGATTGAGGGTGCTGCAAACGAAAGGCTTCGGCTGCATTTTGATCCAGAGTATTCAGCAGCTCCAGTGAGTTCAGGATTGTCCTGTCGATGTCCTCCTGGTACAGGGCCTGCTTCCCTTCATTCATCCTTTTGATATCCTACAAGCATCAAAGAGCAACACAATCAAGCATAGTTACGTAACAATTCTTAAATGAATAGTTCACCCCTTTGTCATTCACCTGCATGACTTTCTGTGTAACACACACAAAACAAAAACGATAAGTTGTCTGATCGTGTGGTTATTTTGTGCATATAGATACGGTCAAAGGGTTCCAACTTTCAAAGCAGAGATAAAACAGTCTAATGATTCTTCAACATATCGTATTGTGTATTACACAGAAGCAAGGTAAGACGTGGAATGACATGAGGTTGAGTAAATGATGACAATTTTCATTTATTGGTTAAAAAAAACTGAAAGTGTAAAAATAAAGGCTAATTCAAAATGCAATAATGTTATATAAATAATACTAAAATAACACTGGCATACACTTTCTGCAATTGTACCGCAAATAACCCTAAACTGGCATCATTCAAGGGGCTTTAACATGCTTAATGGTGGGAACAGCAGGAGTGATAAACTCTCTGACTTTGATTTGTAATCCACGGAAGCATTCTGTACTTACCTTTTTGAGATTCTGCTGTGTCTCGCTGATGTTCCTCTCCACTTTGTCTGCATTCATCTGCAACTTATCATTCAAGGCCACTAAATAACTGACAGGTGGTCTGAGATAAAATAACAAAAAGTAAGTTTTTGTGAGAGCAGTTATAGTTTCATCGAGCCAAATATACAAGTTTCGGTCTGCATTTTTCCAAAGTACTGCTGCAAATGTAGCAGGTTAGTTATGTTAAATATCTGCATCTTGGACAGAACACAACACCTCACTTCAATTACTTGACATGCTGGGATGCTCGGAAAATAAACACTTGAAACACTTTCATTCCACATCGTCTGGCACAGACTTCAGATCTGTTATAGGAAACTAACAACAAATATTCCCTTATCTGAAACACACTGAAAGACTATGCTGATGCCTAGCATAGTAGAGCATTCAGCAAATTCTAGAGAAGTGTTGTTTGGCGGTGCGTAGAGATGACTAAACTTCATCAGAAACCAATTACACACCTCAAACAGGTCTGACAGGTTTTACTAATGAGCCACTATTCATTAATTCCTTCATTTCTTTATTTAACCAGGTTAAAAACTCATTGAGATTAAAGTCTCTTTTGCAAGAGTGACCTGGCCAAGAAAGCAGCAACAAATGACATAGTATATACAAGTTTACATCATAATACAAAACACAAATCAAAGATCACAACAACAATTCACCAAAGGATAAAACTACAACCACAAAATACATACTATACTATACATACAAAAAGGATAAAAAAGGACATATGCCATCAGATCTAAATGCATCTGCATATGAAACCCATCAACATGAGTGCTAAGACACAGCTGGACTGTTAAAGCATGAGATTATGTAACCAATGCTGTTGTAATTTATTTAATCAAACAACTATTAAAGCAGCAGCAGCAATAATACTGATAAAATAAAATAAAATAAAATAAACAATGCTGCATATGAATATATTGAGGGGTGAGAACCAGAAAGGCTCAAGTAACATATCAATCAAATGAAAGCCCTTGATGAGCTCTTTCTGCTGCCAAAAGAACACGCGTGAATTCTTAACATTGTTGGAGCTATTCATTAGAAACCAAAAGACTTAACACTGAAAATACTAAGCCAGCTGCTGCCAAAAGGGCGTAACAGCACTTTACCAGTGAAAAATGTATTGTGGGTAAAGCCTGTGAAAGCACATAAGTCAAATGTCTGACAGCACATGCAATCCAATGTCAGTGAGGTGTAGCTAGCAGTAAACAATAACTTACATTAGGTCGGGGTGCCCACACTTTTATTTTGTGGGGGGTCTCTTTTTTTTTAAATGAGAAACTCACTGAGATCTACCAAGTGAAAAAAAATAATAAAATACATATAAAATAAATTAATGTATTGCTTGTAATGTATTGCTTAATGCTTGTTTGGATGTATCTTTATATTGCATTAATTACATTTTTAATAAAAACAAAAAATATATAAAAATGTTAAATTCTTAGTACCCCCGTAGAAGACCCCCTCCTCTCCAAATCAATACCCAAACTTTTATATTCACTAAAACCTTTTTTTTTTTGTAAACAAAACAAATTCAAGATAGATGTAAACATCGCATGTTCTTTTTTGCAAACATACTTTGCAAAAATGTCACTGCAGATATTCTATACAACTTCAAAGTATGTAAAGCTCAATTATACAGTAACTTTAACATATATATAAGCACAAGTCAATCTGCCATACCAAACAATACCACAGGGCGATGCCAAAGGACTGCATATAAACTAGCCTACTTTACGGGCCTAATATATATATATATATATAAATATATATAGAAGTGTACATGTAGGCTATTCATACATTTTCGGTACGGGTCTTTCGGTTCGGTACTCATGTGTACCGAATAAATGCAGCATTGTTTTAACTTCTGCACGAGTGAAACTTCATCTTTGAGTTATGTCAATTTTTTATTTTTTTTCCAGGAAGTTCAAACAATAAATGGCGTTTTGACAGTCTTTGATGTGGCATATCGCTGTATAGAAGAGCTGGTTCAGAAACGTGCTGGTATAAACACAAGCATGCAAGTGGACGCGATCGTTCTTTCCTCTTTACTATCACTTTTAACGCGAAATAAACATGAATGAACATCTCATGTAACAATCACTCAATCAGTGTTTCAACCGTGGAAAGACGTCGATAAAACAGCTTGTACACAAAATGTCACGAAGCATTTCGTTTACTTCAGGCAAGTCATCAGCGTCTACATCTCGTTATTTGCTAGAGAAATGAAGTCTAGAGAAGAGCATTTCATGAAATATTACACTATATACTCATTATATTTTACATTACCTGTTAGTGATGTCTTAATTAATGTAGCCTGTTTAAATGGATCTGTTATGAATAAGTAATGACAGCAACTGTTGCCTGTAAATGAATAGTCTATATTTCAGCAACACATAGAAATTTTAGTATTTAGAAGTTTATGTAAAAACTGCATTATGTCACATGTTTGCATACATTTTTTTTTTTTAAGTTGAGTGTTGATTATTTGTTCCTAAGATGTTTGTTCCTAAGAAAATTGTAATTATAATTAAATGTATTTAAAGAAAGAGCAACTTGTTCAGTAAAACATGGTTCAATTAAAAAATAAATAAATAAATAAATAAATAAATAAATACATAAATAAATAAAAAAAAATAAAATACAAAAAAAAAAAATAAAATATATATATATATATAATTTATTTATTTATTTATTACAAACTCTAGTAAAATAGTAATATACTGTATTTAAAATACATTTATTTCATAGTTCAAATCTGTTAACATTTTATTTGCTTTATTGTCTCTTTATACTCTATTACAAATATAAAAAAACAATTACATTAAACTTTATTTGGAGTACTACTTGTGCACAATGCACATTTCTCAATATTAAGGCTAAAATGTGTTTTAAATGTCACTATTGATGAGGATTGTATGATCTTTGAATAATATCGGTCTTTAAATGCAATATATTTAAAATGTACCAAAAGTATGCTTGGCAATAGTTCCACTTTTAACACAATCTAATATACTTCAGTACATCTTTAGTTGGACTTACAATTAAAGTGCAGTAAGTACAAAATTTGCTGTTTCAATTTAGCAGGCTAAGTATACCAGTTTATTATTATGTAAATAATACGTAAATGTATTTGTAGTATGCTTAGCATGAAATAAATGTTTTTCAAATACATCTCTCTATATTTATTTTTCACTAGGGAAGTGAAATCCGAGTTAAAATAACAAAAAGTAAGTTTTTGTGAGAGCAGTTATAGTTTCATCGAGCCAAATATACAAGTTTTGATCTGCATTTTTCCAAAGTACTGCTGCAAATGTAGTAGGTTTGTTATGTTAAATCTCTGCATCTTGGACAGAACACAACACTTTAATTATCTGACATGCTGAGATGCTCGGAAAATAAACACTTGAAACCCTTTCATTCCACATCGTCTGGCACAGACTTCAGATCTGTTATAGGAGAACCATGGTACTAACAACAAAACATATTATCTTAGCTGAACCACACTGAAAAACACAAAGCAAAACAATACTGCTGTTTAACATTGGCTGCCTAGCATAGTAGTGCATTCAGCAAATTCTAGAGAGATGCTGTTTGACGGTGCGTAGACATGACTAACTTAATCAGAAACCAATTAAACACCTCAAACAGGTCTGACAGGTTTCACTAATGTGCCACTATACACGCAAAAATATACTTTAATAAATGCACACAAGGGTAAACCCAGAATAGAACAGATAGGCGACACACATAATGACGTAGCAGGCCGGACACCAAACAGTGAAATGAACACAACTAAAATAGGGGTGCTAACGAGGGACAGACAGGTGAAGGAGGATCAACCAAAAAATACAAATGCAAAAACATTAAGTAAGAAAAGTGGACATCTCAAATACAGTGCAATGAAATAGCCTAAGGTTTTGTCCTTTTTAGCTCACTGCAAACAAACAGGCATGCCACAAAACCTGGCACATTTGACACTGAATGCATAACTCATTAAAACAACACCAAAAGATGACCTAAACGGAAAAATATGTTGATTTCTTTAACCACTAAAATAATTTTGACACAAACTGAAACCATATTCCTTGAGTTAAACCCCCTCCACAGTAACAACGAACGACCCTTCACTACTTTCACAATATTAGTGACCGATATTGAATCCTGCTGAAGCAAAGATCATGACTAGAGACTCGTCTCTCAAACCATCAGAAGTTTATGCTCGTTTAAACTCGTCACGCCGATTACACTTCTACCCTTAACCACGCAGCTTTCTTTAAACATTACCTTCACCTTGACTGCAGCCTGTTCTGATACACGTGTAACTCCAGTACTACATACAGTACAATAAGAACAATACAATGTTGATTACTGTAAAAGAATAATAATAAATCAATTATAGGAAATAATACATTTAAATGACTGTACATTCCTTTAATATGCATTTCGAAGTTTTTTCTCTATTCTGTTCAGAACAGAATAACTACCATTAGTTTACTCAGTCCTGTCAGTGTCGTCTTGGACTGTCTTACCTGCACTCCTCACATGGAGTGTGTCAGAACTCAAAGATATGTTTGAAGATGATCTAGTTATTTATCACAGTCTAGTCCAGGACCTACTTGCGTTCAGTGTAATCATTCAACACATGAGCCCACACTCCTTGACTTTAAACATGTGCCCTAAGTAGCAGCCTACAGCTGAAACCAGGCATACAATTGATGCAATTAAAGACCTAAGAAGTATCTGGCTGCCACTGACCTGCTCTCACTGGTGGTCTCTGTGGTTTTATTGATGGACATGATGACAGCTGCAGAGTCTCTTAACACCCGTCTGCTAAGATTAGTCTGCACAGTTATGATCCCTCAGTGGTGTCTGTCCTTCAACTACCTTCCAGGAGACGTACACACCTCACATAACGCCCACAATGCACAAAAGAGCAATTACCAGTCCGTGTACTTTTGCATCCATTCATTTTTCTTTTTTTTTTAATTCTCCTTGACACTGCAGTATGTGGATGAGAAATTAAAGAGTCAGTCTGATTTTCTTGGATTTGACAGTGTCCCTGACAGCAGCGGAGAGACCCCGTTCAGGTGCATCGAAGATGTATTTGTCAGGCTGAACATCCCAATTGAGCGACTCCATGGATGTTAGAGCTTCTGACACGTCAGGACGGTTTTCCAGCTAGGAATGAGTCAAAATGTGATGTTTTCCAAGCGACTGCAATTGTGGCCGCCCCTGAAACCGGTTACGTCAGAAGTTATGCATGGCTCGATCAAGGATGTGCATTTATCACATGGACTGAGCAAAAACATTAAAAAAGTGTCTAAAATGCGTGTGCATCACTGATCTCTAAATAGTACCATTGAATGATATATAAAAGTTTAACGCTGTTAAAATGTATGGAACTGTTTGCTGAAATAACCACAATCTTAACAGATGCACTGTTACCATAGCAACAGATTCCAGGTGTGTTCCTTCAGAAGCATCACTGGCCGGTAGAAATAAAAGGTTCCCGATTTCTTCACTTTAAAATAACGAGGAACAGCATATGTTCCTGAAATAAAGGGGAGGGAAAAGTCTATGCTTTGCAATGTAGTGAAGACAATTTAAGTTTAATAAAAATGTAAATGGCACACAGCAGACACATTAGCCTATTGCGGTGTCATTTATCAACTGCATGACAGATAATTATATGTAACCATAATTGTCTTGCCATGCTATAGAAATTAAAACAATACGGATACATCCTTTTCATTTCCTTTTCATACTCTGATGATATGAAATAATCAAATAAAAAAAAAATCGAGGGACAGACAGGTGTAGAGGGTCAACTAATGAGGACACAGGTGAACATAATCAAAGACGGGGAAAACTGGGTCACACTGAGCACATGGGGCATAAAAACACAACAAAACAGTTCAAGGGTGTGTCCAAAAATAAAATAAAATGCTGAATATGAATGTATGAAAAATTGCCAGATTTATATAACACAGACGGATGGCACAAGCAGCGACATTTGAATTGCTACAAAATGTTATTAAATCTGATTTGAGATTAAGTTAATTGAATTATTTGATGCTCACTTCCCTTCCCTAGACGTGTCCCCATAGCCAAAATATTAGTGCTGTCAAACGATTAATCGCTATTAATCGCATCCAAAATAAACTTTTTTGTTTACATAATATATGTGTGTGTACTGTGTATATTTATTATGTATGTGTATATATATATATATATATATATATATATACACATACATAATAAATATACACAGTACACACACATATATTATGTAAACAAAAAAGTTTATTTTGGATGTGATTAATCATGATTAATCGTTTGACAGCACTATTTATTTAAATGGCACACAGCAGACACATTAGCCTATTGCGGTGTCATTTATCAACTGCATGACAGATAATTATATGTAACCATAATTGTCTTGCCATGCTATAGAAATTAAAACAATACGGATACATCCTTTTCATTTCCTTTTCATACTCTGATGATATGAAATAATCAAATTTAAAAAATATATTTAATTCATAATTCATTCCTCTATCTGAAGACCTGATCCTCCCACTGTGGATAATCAACCCAACTCATTTATTAAATGCTGTGGTTGTTCGTCTGTCAGCATAAAGAGCAGCTTAGTTTAGCAAAACAATCATTTCAGGGACATGGAGAGTTACAGGCTAATGTGTTTTTTTTTCTTCTGTGCATTATAATGAAGGCTTTGTGATACTGCATAGTAGTGCATTCAGCAAATTCTAGAGAAGTGTTGTTTGGCGGTGCGTAGACATGACTAAACTTCATCAGAAACCAATTACACACCGGTTTGACAGGTTTCACTAATGAGCCACTACACATGCAAAACGAATAAAAAAGGACATATGCCATCAGATCTAAATGCATCTGCATATGAAACCCATCAGCATGAGTGCTAAAACACAGCTGGACTGTTAAAGCATGAGATTATGCAACCAATGCTGTTGTAATTTATTTAATCAAACAACTATTGTGTTTTTTCTTCTTCTGTGCATTATAATGAAGGCTTTGTGATACTGCATAGTAGAGCATTCAGCAAATTCTAGAGAAGTGTTGTTTGGCGGTGCGTAGACATGACTAAACTTCATCAGAAACCAATTACACACCGGTTTGACAGGTTTCACTAATGAGCCACTACACATGCAAAACGAATAAAAAAGGACATATGCCATCAGATCTAAATGCATCTGCATATGAAACCCATCAGCATGAGTGCTAAAACACAGCTGGACTGTTAAAGCATGAGATTATGCAACCAATGCTGTTGTAATTTATTTAATCAAACAACTATTAAAGCAGCAGCAGCAATAATAATGATAAAACAAAATAAAATAAACAATGCTGCATATGAATATATTGAAGGGTGAGAACCAGAAAGGCTCAAGTAACATATCAATCAAATGAAAGCCCTTGATGAGCGCTTTCTGCTGCCAAAAGGACACACGTGAATTCTTAATATTTATGGAGTTATTCATTAGAAACCAAAAGACTTAACACTGAAAATACTAAGCCAGCTGCTGCCAAAAGGGCGTGACAGCACTTTACCAGTGAAACATGTATTATATATGTATTATATTCTTGCTCAAAATGGTTGAGTTTTATAATTTTAAAATTATAATTGCTATTACCGATTAATTTGTCTTGCATTTACTCACAACAGAAGCAAACAATGATTACAGGAGATATATTTTTAAAGGCAATAATTGTAAAATATTGAAATATTGTTCTTAATCATTTTTGCCTATTTGTTTGTTAAAGAGAAGAAAATATGCACTTTTCAAATGGAGCCTTTAATATTATTTGGCATCTTATAACGTTTTCTGTAAACAAATTATCTTTTTATTTTTGAAAATAGACAATGTTTTTTTTTTTTTTTAAGGGGTTTTCTATTGCATATTGCTTAGTTACCTCTATGCAAATACATTTTTATAATCAACTGCTTTTTTTTGGTTTTCATTTTTTTTCATAGTGGCACAAACTGGAGAGATTGCTGTTCTGGGTACTGTGGGAAAAGTTTGACATATCAATAAACATTGGGAAATAACTACAAAATGTGTGAATCATGATTTTTTTTTGTTTGTTTGTTTGTTTGTTTGCTTTTTATTCGTATAGTTCAACTGGCAGATCTAAGAATAAAGCTCGTAGGGTCCATTTCCAGGAAACACAGAAGTGATTAATTGTTTACCCTTAATACACTATAAATACACTGTAAATGATAATCACGTATAAACGTGCATTTGTGCTGTTGTGCATTTTATATCATCACATTTCATTGTGAACTTTATCTGAGAGCGAGGAAAAGAACTGGCTCACACACACATCTGTAGGTTAGCAAATATATTTTAATATAGAATTTGATATTTATATATTCATTTAAGCACAATGACAAAACGGCATCATTTCGGTTCAGCCTAATTTACTCCAAGAGAGAAGCCACATCTGCAGGTATATTTCACAAACAGATTTCCATACTGAGTGTCCATCACTTTGTTGCTGCAACGTCAGACAAAAGAAAGAAAGCAAACAGAATCACTGAAGAAATGCTGACAGCAGTCCGCTCACGGAGGTTTAACGTTTAATGTCAGAAGAGAAAAATGAGTCCGATCAGCGAGAACAGCGATCTGCAAAGCGGTTTTAAGCTAAAGTGTCTTATGAAGCGACGTAGAAAAAAAAGAGCATCACATCTATAAATAAATATGCAATGACCAAAACATGCCAAAACAAAGAAGTCCTTCAGCGAGAGTCTAAGACCAACCAAAGTTCAATATCTGTTTTCATTTCCAAGCAGCTATTCTACCCGACTTCATCACAGCACTGCATCTTTATCTTTATCCTCATCACAACCACATTATATTATCCATATATGATATGTCTCTCTATTCGTCTTTCCATTTCTACAGTAACATCACCTGGTCTAACATGTTTATCATCGGCTCTTCAGCTCAAACAACCTCTACAAGGTCTCTACATTTCCACCTCAATGTTTCAGGAATGTGAAGTCAAGAAACAAAGAAAAATAAAGTTACAATGCCTCTATCTTTAAACCAGTACCGCGTGTGGATCTCACGAAAACAGTCAAGAAATATGTCTGGGACAAAAAAAAAAGAAAAAATATTATTATTATTATTATTATTATTCATTGTAATTTAGAAAATAAGTCAAGACAGGTTTTCAGTGATTAAGGAAACACTCCATTTAAACAGTTTGCAAACATTATAGAACATTACTTTCAAATGTTCTCTTAACATTCTGAAACAAGTAGCAAAAAAAGTGTGTGTGTGTGTGTGTGTGTGTGTGTGTGTGTGTGTGTGTGTGAGAGTGAATGATCCTTAAATGTTTTCTTGCATTTACAGCCAGTGGCTTCTCATACGAACATTTCATGACATGACAAGGGCATGGCTACTACAACACACTCATATTATGCTGAGAAGCATCACTAAGAAACAGAACAAGCATTTGAAACAACACTACAATAAAATACAAAAAAAGAAAGATATGATGAAAAGACACATAAATGATGCTGTAAAGTTATCAAAACAGAAGAATATAGAAAAGGATCTTGAACCCAGAGTCCTACAATAAACCCAACAGAGCAGACCTGATCTGAGCATCACACTCACACTGATGAATAAACGCCCTCCCGCTTGTCCAGTTAGTACACAAACCTCAGTACGCCAAAACAAGATACAGTTGCATTAAATAAATTAATCAATAATCAACATATTTGTATGTACAACTTAAGAACAAAACATCAGTCAGAACTATGAAAGAAAATCATATTGTGCAAAAGTAAATGAAGCCTATTTTTAGGTTTTTGCATTACGGCATAATGTTTATGATGACAAAATCACATCCTTCCCCCGGTGCCATTATTATAAAGCAAAGAACAAAAAACTGTGTTATAATAATAGAAATCCAGGCATTGTGTATATGTTACGATATCTAGGTGAAATGTCAAAAACTGTATTGGCTCAAAAAATAAGCTTCATTTTCTTTATGCGTTTTTTTATGCATATTCTGAAGTGGACAGGTTTGAACGAGATTTTTGTCTGTGGTCATTTTTAGTCTAATTCAGTGGTACTTGTTTTGCACACATTGACTAAAAGCAGGATAAAACACCTCTCGAGTCGTGTTTCTGTTACGCCAACAGCGACACATCTTCAGCATCGCGAAGCTTTTGCAGCATTATCAAGGCTGATATGTTTTAATACCGTGACATCCAATTTGACAATTAAATGACATGATTATGCGTCTATGGCTTCAGCATCAGTTTCGTGATACGTGCATGTAGTGGTTATTAACGACATCGCAAACGTGTCTAGAGGAGACGCTCGTGCACAGTGCCCAATAATCTCTGCATAGAGGATTTGAACGAGATTTATGTCTGTGGTCATTTTTAGTCTAATTCAGTGACACTGTTTTGGACACATCGACTAAAAGCAGGATAAAACACCTCTCGAATCGTGTTTCTGTTACGCCAACAGCGACACATCTTCAGCATCGCGAAGCTTTTGCAGCATTATCAAGGCTGATATGTTTTAATACCGTGACATCCAATTTGACAATTAAATGACATGATTATGCGTCTATGGCTTCAGCATCAGTTTCGTGATACGTGCATGTAGTGGTTATTAACGACATCGCAAACGTGTCTAGAGGAGACGCTCGTGCACAGTGCCCAATAATCTCTGCATAGAGGAAAAGAAGTGGCATTAAACTAGAGAAAGACACTGTGAAGAAAATAAACCGTATTCCATCGATCTGCTGCAACAGGAAGTTCATCCGAATACGCCTTCGCAAACGAAACATGATAATATGGCTTTTCCGATGTTCTCCAGTGGAGGCGCTGTGTTTTAAAAATACACCTCGTTAAATTGATCTCAAGCGCAAAGCACAGTGCTTAACAGAGGCTTAATAGAGACGAATCTACCGATCAGTGACTAACCGTACAGACATGCACACGATACGAGATCTAATGCAAACCACCGTGAATGACGTGAGCACATCTGAAGCCCTTGGTTGCTGCTCTGGGGATGTTATGTTACGTTACATAAGCCTATAGAGAGCTGAGCTAGAGTCAGGTATCACAGAGAACTCAGTCAGGACTGAGGATGCAAACAAACTAAACCATTAAACTAAGAGAGAAAGGAATCTATTCAAAAGCGATCGCGGTGTGTCTGATGAGCGTTTGGCCGTGTGTCCGGAGAGACACTAGACAGGGTACATCACCACAGTCACAATGTCACACGCCGCAAGATTCACAAGATGATATCTGTACACAATCCAGAAACATCGATACATCAACAACAACTACAACAACATAACAAACTACAATAAATAGAATCATCTACAATCTGTTTTCCGAAGGGATCGTTTGAGACTCGGGATTTTACGCGGTAATCTTCTCTAACATTCTGTCATTTACTCATCCTCAAATTTGTTTTAGTATTTATTGGACTGAAAAAAGGACAGCTTTTGCATACAGTGAAAGAGGAATGAGAGACCGTCAAACTCATGCATTTCTAGTCCTCTGATGTCAAACGATAACGTTGTGTCAGAAAGACCAAAATACACTAAAATTAATCAACTCAAATATATTTCAAATTTACTTACATTTAAATATGATTAAGCGGCAAGATGCCAGGTTTGACGTTATTGATACTGAATGCTTTAGGTTCTTGTCTGCTGACCGAATGCGATGCACCATGTTAAAATATGCAGAAGTGCAAATGAGATTTGTATCAAAGTTTGTTTCTGCTACAGAATAAATATATTTTAAAAAGTAATTCCAACTTTTTCTCACAATTCTGACTTTTTTTTTGTTTTTCCAGAATTGCAAGTTTATAGCTCATAATTGCAAGTTAATAACTTGGAATTTTGAGTTTAACATTTAAACTAAAGTTAAACTGCAATTTTGGCCTTTTCCTCAGAATGGCATTCGCAAGTTACAACAGGTTACAATTACAGGTTATTTTCAGCCACACAATAATAATAATAATAAATTTTTATGCTTGTATTTACTTTTTATTAATGCTACTTTTTATCTCACACTTCTTACTTTTCTTCTCAGAATTGCAAGATGTCAACTTTTCTTTTTTTCAGAATTGCGAATGTGCATTGAGTTTATATCTCACAATTCTAATCATTTTTTAAAAGTCAGAATTGTGCAATAAAAACCCAGAATTCAGGGAGAAAGGAAGCAGCATTTTTAGATAAAAAGTCACAATTACCTTTTTAATATTTCTATCTATATATTTAATATTTTACTTCATGGCAGAAACAAGCATCTATAGATTTGAGTGTGTGTCTGTGTGTGTGTGTGAGAGAGAGTGTGTGTGTGTGTGCGCGCGTGTTTGTGACAAATGAGGACATACATTTCTATAATGACAAGGGTATGACATAGGTATTACAAGGAGAAGGTGACTTTTCAGGACATT